AATTGAGCATGGGCTACCTAGTATTCAATACCTGTATTCAATGGGGGAGACCAAACTCAGAGAAAATAATTCTGAAAATTAATAAAGGAATAAATTATGAGAAACAGGAAATGTAACATGCTCATTTTTCATAATCCTTGATACATTCGGAAAGAAATAGCAACCCCTAATTTTTCTATATGATCTGATGAAAAGTTGAGTTAAGAATGAATCAGGGGTGCCTGGGTGGCTCAGTGGGTTGAGCAACCGACTTTGGCTCAGGTAATGATTCTGTGTCTCCCTCTCTCTCTGCCCCTCCCCCACTCATGCTCTGTCTCTCTCTGTCTCAGAAATAAACATTAAAAAACATTAAAAAAAAGAATGAATGAATCAGTGCTAAGAAAAGGAAATTTTTCATCGGCTCCAACTTTACAGCCTTACCTCTACTTGTCATACAAATGTTCTGCATCAGCTGGTTGAAATGATAAAAATCCACATTGACAACTATTTCAGTTTTAGGTTAGGAGATTCAGTATTCCTAAAAATCATAGTTTATATTCTATTACTCATTTTCCATTGTAATTATGGGAGCAAAAATAGTGAAGACAAGCTAGGTTTGGAGTTGCTTTGGCCTTTCTGGACAAAGATTCTATATGGACTTTCACCTGCATAGGTACATGTTTTATCTACCATAAATACCTATCTCTCATGGCTATTACTCCAGTGAATCATATGTGCCAACAAGGGCTTAGAGGAAGGTACACTAAGGGATTATAAAAATGTTATCAACATTTGCACCAATATTGGAACAGCAAACTTTTGTGATAATACCCAAAGAGTTACAAAGGGCATGTGAAGTAAGCCAGAAACGGATGGAATATTTTGCATATTATCTGAGTGAGAAAATAACTTTGTTGCAAAGCTTTTGGGAGAGGTCTCCTGAATTTCCTAAATCAGAATTTCTCTGACAAATTGAGGCCCCCACTTCTTTTCTTGCTGAGTTAAATACTGGGACAACTTAATCTTACATGAAAACATTACATTTTTATCATACACTAAAATGTCTCCATTAAAGTGACTCTCCAAGCTAGTAGAATCACATAAATTGTTCAGAAATGCTGAATGCAGAGCAATAAAAAGAGTGGGATAGAGTTCAGTGCTCCCTGGATTCCCATCGAAAGGCGTGAAAAAATATGGATTAAACACTCATTGAACTCTTCAACATTTTCCAAGAATCATTCTCGCAAAATAGAAATGGTGCTAATTCTTGAGAAGGATCTACAATCCAGAAGGTCCTTTCCCATTTGAAAGATGTGCTGGGTTTAACCCTGTAGTTAATGAAAGCATAATATCTGGAAATGTGTCATGATTTTACAATTCAGATTCCTTTTTGTCCATTTTAGAAACAGCAAAAAAAGAAGCTTGTTGACTCATGCACTATTTGTTTTCATTCAACAAATATCATTCAACAAATATCTGCTATCTTTAAATAGTATACAAAAAACTGGGAATAAAATGGAATCAAAATAGATACGAGTCCCACTGTCCTATAATAACCAAAATCAAGGGTAAACCGATGACAGAAAATGTTGTGACAGATATAAACAAAGTAACCTGTTTCTCAGTTCAGAACTTTTTCTACTACACCAAGCTGGTTTTTAATCAGCAAACTTACTCCATTATACTACGTAATATGCCCTATTGATCCCATTATTTTTTAGTCATTTTTCTAACATGAATTTATACAAAAGTCCACTTTCAACATGTTCTAAGCTTTCTGTTGAATCACATGTTCATCAAAAGTTTCCCCAGAATAGTGATTCTTTGCTTGTTAAACACTCTAATTTATTCTGATTCAACCCTCATATCTAATAAAATTATATTTGGAGATCAAAGTAATTTGGGGCTGATGATCTAATTATTCATATCACAACTAATCAGCATAACCACCATATCTATTAAAAAAGCTATTTTAACAGATTTCTTTAATTTCTACTCACGTTTGCATGTATACAAAATTTTGTTACATTAGGGCTCAAAATTTTCAAAAAAAATATTTTTTGATTGATATATAAGTGCTTGTGATATACAAGAACACCAATGGGAGGCAGTTTACCAGAAAGATTTTTAAAATGGCATCCTAGGTCCAAGAGACAGGTTCAAATGCAAGCTATGATATTTATTCATGTTGCAATCTTGGAAAAGTGTTAAAGGCCTTTCTTGATTTATAAAATAAGATTAACAATGAATTTTCAAGTTTTTAGAGAATTAAATAAAACATTATGTGGAGCCTTCTGTTTCTGTAACGAGTGGCTTGATATGCACCTATACTCATGAAACGAACATACGGAAATGTGAGATTAAATGGAAAAACAATGTGTTTGAAGACAGAGGACACCTTCAGTTTCCAGTTCTGCAAGTAAGGAGTTGCAAATCACCACTCAAGTCTAACAATAAGGAAAACTGATGAACAGATTGAAAAATCCACTCTCTTGTATCCTTAGGGAAGGCAAATCACTGTCCTTAAGATTGAAAATCAGACAGATAAATACAAGAAGTGAAGATTTAAGGGAACAGAGACTTGGGAGCCAAAACTACCACAGGGTCCAATGCCAGCACAGGAAAACCTGAAGTAAACTGATAATTTGTGGAGGTTCAGGGAGGAAACTCAGTGTTAAAAGCTCTGGGGGGGACCAAGGTATATGAGGCCCCATCCCATTATTGAGATATGCTTCCAGGAGCTCAACCAGGTTCAGATAGTGAATGTCAGAGAAAAATCACCTCATGCTTCTGTCAGGGGCAAGAGAAAAGGAACTATTTTGAAATGCACCAGAGCACTGTTGTTGTTGAGAGAGCCTGCCCTCACAGAAATCTTAGATGGCCAGAGACTAACCTGCTGGAACACTATCAGAACTTAACTGACCCAGGGAGAGAAATACCCAACTCCTTCCACTCAAGGAGTGGAAGGACAAGGAAAATACCCAACTCTAGCCCACTCTAAGTTTCCTGTCTGACTTAACTGGGGAGAAAGAACTGAGAAACCCTTACGAAGTTCACAGTCCAGAGGTCTGGGCTCACTAAGAGACTGAGACCTAATCATAGGACTGTGGAATGCTTCCCCTCCCCCGATGCCTATCACAGCCCCTAAAGGCTATTTGCTCCAGTTCTTTTTACCCAGTGCATCATGTCTGGTTGTCAAGAAAACAGTACAGACTTAAAAAGGAAAAAAAAAGTTTTGAAGAGGCAGAGAATGATTCAGAACCAGACATGACAGAGGTGTTAGAATGATTAGACTGGAAATTTAAATTTTTTTTTTTCAACGTTTATTTATTTTTGGGACAGAGAGAGACAGAGCATGAACGGGGGAGGGGCAGAGAGAGAGGGAGACACAGAATCGGAAACAGGCTCCAGGCTCTGAGCCATCAGCCCAGAGCCTGACGCGGGGCTCGAACTCCCGGACCGCGAGATCGTGACCTGGCTGAAGTCGGACGCTTAACCGACTGCGCCACCCAGGCGCCCCATAGACTGGAAATTTAAACCAACTGTGATTAATATGATAAGGGCTCTCCTGGATAAAGCAGATGGAATGCAAGAATAGAAAGGTAGCATAAGCAGAGAATGAAAAATCCAACAAAACAAAAGAAAACAAAAAAAATTCCTGAAGAGATAAAGAATTCCTTGGACAAACAGAAACTTACGTGTATGTTTTGTCAGTGTTCCAAGCTCGAAGGAAATGTTAAAAGAAATGCTTTAAAGAGAAGGAAAATAATATAATTCACAAAGTCAGATTTCCATAAAGTCAGGAAGAGTGTTGCAGAAGGAATAAGTGAAGGTAAAATAAAAACATTTGTTTGTTACCTCAGGGAACCTGACATACTCTAGGTGACTATTAGGCTGCTGAGAACAAAAAGGATCTGGATGGCTGCTGTTGCTTCCAGGACCTGAGTTACCCCAGACAGAAACAGAGCTCAGAAAGAAATTACAAGCTCCATCAAAAGCAAAAAAATGAGTAAAATCTAACTAGGAATATCCATGTGAAATTCTGAGAATGCACATCCTTAGAAAAGGCTTGAGAGGCCCCCAGAATCTCTAGGGGGACTGAATGGTGATGGTCTTGCTCTGCACAAATGTGGTTTTACAAGACTGTGAGAGATGGTTGTGTTTTCAAATGTATACATAACAATAAAAAGGTAGTAGGAACGTGAAGAAACAGAGAAAAATGGTCCAATCAAACAAATGAAATCTTCATTAGCCGACCCTGGAGAAATATATGCACTACTGACAAATTATGCTCAATGAATTAGGAAAGTGGCATGTGTTTTAGTTTTATCAGATTCATTTTGAATTTTTAACAAATATATATATGTGTGTATATATATATATATATACACACATATATATATACACATATATATATGTATATGTATATATATTTAAATAACACAGAACATGGAAATTCTATAAATAGTGCTTAATATCATGATCAATATTTTCCTTGATAATATACACTAAATTTCACAAAATATAAAGCTCTACATTCAAAGTGTAATTCACTACTACATATTACTTCTAAGGACTGAATGTAACATACGATATATAGGAAGTGTATATTTTTAAATGTTAAGAAATACCAATGAATATCTTGAAAACACAAAAGAAATCACACACTGATTTTGAAACTCTACATTCAAAGTATGATATGCTGTTATATGTATTTTTGAGGGATTTTTTATTAATAGAATTAAAACTGTTTTTCACATTCTGTTATAGGGTATGTCTTAAAGAATTCCATACCCAAAAAATTTTGTAGGAGAAATAAAGTTTACCATATTTTAAAACAAGTGAATAAACAATGCATTGGGGAAATCTGGGTGTGGAAGTGGAAATGGAGTGGAAAAACATTAAGTTAACTGTAAGGTGGCATATAAGAGACTATGGGAACAAGCATACAGATGCAGATATTTAGGAATTTTAAGATTTTACCTACTTTAGCATGTCCTTTGTTTGCCAAAATAAATATTTCATTTATTTGAAGAAAATACTACTTTATGGACCACATCTTTGAAGGCTTGCTTCACTTGCTGGTTTCTCAGAGTGTAAATGAAGGGGTTCAGCATGGGGGCAACAGAGGTATTGAGAATAGCTACTCCCTTGGTCAATGATGCCCTTTCTTTTGCAGAGGGATTAGCGTACATAAATATACAGCTTCCATAAGAGATGGAGATGACAATCATATGAGAGGAACATGTGGAGAAAGCCTTTTTTCTCTGACTGGCAGATGGGATTCTCAAAATAGTTCTGATAATATACATGTAAGATAAAATCACCAATGCCAGAGTGAATAGCAAAGCAACCAACGCAAAGTAAAAACCGATGACTTCTAGAAACCATGTATCTGAACAAGACAGTCGTAAAAGGGGAAAATAGTCACATGCAAAGTGATCAATGACATTGGAAGCACAGTAATCCAGCTGGAGCAGAAGCATGAGGGGTGGGAAAATGGTCAGGAACCCTCCCAGCCACGCACAGAGCACAAGCCAGGTGCAGAGTTTTCTGTTCATGATGGC